GACGATATTTAGTGCCCGCTGCATCCTTTCGGATACAACAGTCCCAAATTTACCGTTTACTACTATGCTTATGTCGTCTGCAAATGCTTGCGTGTATAAGTTTTCTCTCTCTAACTCCCATAAGAGATCATCAACCACCAAGGTCCACGTAAGAGGAGATAACACTCCTCCCTGCGGGCATCCCTTGTTAACTGAGACATCTCTTGTTGTGTTAAGGAGATTACTGGTAATGGTTCTATGATTAAGCATGAACTCTACCCACCTCGTAATGCAGTGGGCTACTCCACGCCTTTGCATAGATCCCAGTATTGAATTGTATGAAGCAGAGTCAAAGGCTCCTTCTATATCTAGGAAAACTCCTAGTGCTATTTCTTTGCTTTCCAATGCTTGTTCAGCCCGTTGAATTAACCTATGGCTGCATCGCAAGACTTTCCAGATTGGTAGGCAAACTGGTATCGATGTATCGGTTTATCCCGTAGAACATCGTTCCGTATATATCTATCGATCAATTTTTCCAATGTTTTTAGGAGAAATGACGTTAGGCTGATTGGTCTGAAAGATTTGGTCTCCTCGTATGACGCTTTCCCTGGTTTGGGAATGGAGACCACTTTTGCACACTTTGTGGAACATATCCGAGGGCTATGCTAGCTCGGAATAGTTTACACAGTGGTTCCTCCAGTACTTCCTGGCCCTTTTGTAGAAGTGCCGGGATTATACCATCAGGTCCAGCTGTTTTGTATGGTTGAAAGGAATTTATCGCCCACACAAGTTTTGTTCTGTTTACTATTGAGTTTGCAAGAGTTAGAACTAAAATGATAAATTCATAAATCTATGCATTTATTAATCGTAAATACTACTAATGACGATAAGTTGTGTTTGTGTTACAAGACAAACCTTTAAAAAGCTAAATTTAATTCTACATTCATTTCATAATAAACTAAACACTAAAAGTTTGAAAGCTTAATTCAAGTATTTGGAAAATATTCATATGCCAATGAACAAACTTTATACGAGAGGTAAAACTATTATTATTAGCGTAGGGATATTATGTAATACCTCTCTAAATCTAAATTAACTAAGCGTAATATGAACTTTGAATGCATTTTCGCCTCCTCGTTAATTTTAAAGTCTAATGAAGCTAATAAAAGTTTGTTATGCAAATTAAACATTACATATAAGGCCCAATTCAACTGCTAGTAAATAAGAAATACACCAGGTTTAAAACATTTTAACATTGACAATGTTATTTTAATCTTCACTTAGTAATTTAAACTTAGTTTGACACAACGGTGAAATCAACATTTACCTATTTATTCTTAGTCTTAGTACTTATTCTATAATCTCCGTAATTATATAACCTTTATTATTACACTAATTTGAAACCAATAATTACTTAAATACTTTAAATCTTATTGTTTATAAACACTCTAATTTAAAATGATAATAATATACAGTTGAAAAAGATGATTAATCTTACATTAATTAAATTACTCATATATGCATTTTTCTTTTTTAGTATATCATTATATGGAATGGGATATATTTTAACCATATATGTCGGAGAGGTTAGCCGCGAGCTTAGTGTGCATCCACTTACTCGCAAGCAACAGTTAAGCAGTTATCTCTCCGGTCACGTCGTGGATGGGTGATCATGAATGAGGGTGTGAATGGGAAATTAGTAGGACCTTCAAATGGTGGTACAATAAATAAGCCGCAGGCTGCAGCGCTGCCAGACTATAGACGGATTAGGGGATTAGGGTGTAGCTCGGGAAGTCTGAAGGGTGCAAAAAAAAACCATGATGTAGAATCATAAAATATTAATTACCTGTACTTTTTAAAAATTGCAACTTACTATTTTTTGTATGAACAAACTCTAGATATTTTCTACATTTTTCCATTCAAAAATATGTATACTTATTACATTTAAGTATATCTTATTGCTGAATTTTTTCTTTTAATGTAAGACTAAATTATGTTTATCGGCGAAGGAAGATGCCTGTTATAAAAAACCATTACCTATTGTTGACATAAATTAATACGATTTTCATTTAAACATGTTTATAACTTTTATTTTAATAAAAAACTCACTAGTAAACAATATTTAAATCGGATTTACTTAATTAGAAATAGAAGTAAAAACGTGTAAAATCGAACCTGCTTTTCTGTCATTTTAGTAAGTTCAAAAGACACGTCTACCGATCCCAATTTTGTATATCAACAATAGTTACAAATGACTTATCCTCAGGTTGCTTTATCAATGTTTAAATCGTATTCGCTCTTCGATTTTTCAATAAAAATTACTTAGAAATGACGTCCCTCACTTTTTACCCTAGAAATAGGAGTGATCTTTATAACATGCAATTTTCTTAAGAAACAGTTGTTTTAATAATGAATAAGGAGTATTCAACTTTTGATATAGGGTAAAGGATAAATGATAAAAGTGAAATATTTTAGCTGATTTAATAACTTCAGGAAATCGGATATCTAATGAGCATAAAAGTCTGTTGACTTTTTCATAGAAATGTGATTATCTGAATTTTCTTAAAGAGTTTATCAGAGGCAAAGTCTTTGAATTTATATAACGATAAAATGTTTTTGTTTAAAAGTTAGTTACACTTAGTGCAGTTACCTTTTTAAATAAAATAAATGTGTTCTTTATAAATATATATATAAATTTATAAATAAATTACTGGTTATTGTTTCAAATAAAAAAAAAATGTTACATTTATTTTTCAACTGTTCCAGAAAATAGACAATAACTTCAAAACAAACGGTTTAGCTTAGATACGACCACCTTATACAAAGAGTATATGTTCCGCAAGTTAGAGTGTATATAGCCAACAGAAGTCGTTGAATATTAAATTTCTTCTGTTATAGAGTGTCATCGTATATTTTATCCATACATTGTAGAGCCAAACAATTTCCTCCAGAGTTCCTATTTTCTTTTATGATTCAATTTTCCTTTTAATTTTCATACAATATAAAAGGCTGACACAGGTGAATGTATAATATAATAAAAGGTAAAGGAAGTCAAGGGTATTAAAAGAATAGGACAGGGTTATTACAATGCATCATGCGGCTTCTTTACATTTTGTATACTAAAATAGAATTTTTTTTGAAAACTTTTTTTATTGTATTATGCAAAGTAGTAAAAGAGAAAATAAGATAATTTGCTGATATATAAAATAGACCACAAAATACGTCATCACGCCTACACAGATGAAGTCAGGATTTACGGAATATTGAATTTTTATTTGTACCATAATAAGGTACTTTTTTGGAAGTCCGGAAAATGATTTTTTTTTTGTAAAAAAGCCTTTCTGTTTATATCATAGATACATTTTTTTTTGAAACAGCAAAATAATTGTTTATTGATATGAAGAAAACATTATATTTATTGAGATTGTTTAATCGATGCTATCATATTTATATTTAATATGACGAATGGCCATTTTATTAACTTTATTTCAATCTCTATAATTTTATAAACACTAGTAATTATTTATAAAAAAAGCTGTACCGGGAGATTAAACACACCCAGAGGAAACATTAGATAACACACATCGCCTTATCTATTAGGGCATTTAAAAAATTAAGTATATTATAAAAACAAAAAGAACTATTTCTAGAGCAATTCGTCCATCCTGGCAAAACTAAGAGTAGGTCAGGAGTTATTGTACAAAAAACGCATATAAAAATCAGTGGTGTGCCTAGGGCTGTGCTTGAGCTGCCCCTGCAAAAACTACCTCTTTTATTTATATTAAGATCGATAAAGCAAGTTTCTTTATGTCAAAAAATACGGGGGCGTTAAAAGGGTACCCAAACCCCCAACTTTTTTTAAAGGTGTCGCTTTAAATTTTTTTTCAAATCAACAACACTGGCAAAAATTTGAGAGAAAAAATAGAAAACTTTAAACAAAAAAACAGTTTTTCTGACTGTAAGTTTAACGCCCTGTAACTTTGTTGGGATCCAGTTTTTGATATAGGTAAATATAGCCAAATACACTTATTTTTTAGTAATCTATCGGAGGAAGAATTTATGACATACCTTTTTGAAACACCCTGTATATTTAATAATACAAACTACTATTTAATAATTTTATGTATTGACAAAATTCTTTAACTTTTTTATTACTGGCTCTCCGACTATAGACACAATCGCAATACCGATCCTTTCAAAATTGAATCAAACTAAATAATGTAAGGAAGATCAGAGAAGCACGAGTAAATTTATCATGACAAGACAAGATAAATGACCTTAATGCAAAATTGTACCTTTCTCAAAGGAAAGGGAAATTATTTGAACAATTTTACTTTCATGGGCTGATGGAGAAGAAAGGTTCTGGCGTTTATTTATTTTTGCCCCTTATAGTGCTCAAAGTGTTTTGAAAGTTTCCACTTCGTTTATTTTATTTCTTAAATTATTTTTATTCCTACGCCAACGTAGATATTAATATTTTATTAAGCATGCAGGATAATATTGTCTTAGTCGGAGAGTTGACGACGAATTTGGGGAAGGTATAGGCAATTTCAAAGTATAAAAACAGTGCTTTATTAATGTTAGTGAATCTGAAATTGAGAATCTGAAAATGCGGTTATTTTTTGTTATTATGCAGGAAAAAATTAATCCTCAAAAATATCTTCCAGTGATGTTGTTTTAGGGTTACTAGTGAAGTTATTAGCCCTTTCAGTCACGAATTATTTTTAATGACACAAAAAATTATTTTTATAATACTTTGGTGTACAATTGTACACCAAATAATGAATCTGCGTAAAATTTTGGAAAAAAAATTAAGTACTCGGTGGTAAGAATAAACATAAAAAAGTAAAAGTCATTTATTGCAAAAATCAGCGCTGGCACTCAGGAATATTTCTAGTTATATACGTTGAATTTTGTATCCATTCTACATTTTTCTTTTCGGTAATCCATTTTTAGTATATATTTTCTTCATTATTTATAAGTTCCTCGGTATTTATTATTTGTTCCTCCCCATTATTTACTATTTGTTCTTCCTCTTCAATATTATTTTCGTCTTCTTCACATTGTACTAGATTTGTGACTAAAGTCTCTTCATAATCGCTATCATCGTCGTTATCGAGATACTCTATATCGGATAGTCCTTTTTCTAACATGTTTTTAGGGTATGTTCATTTTAGTACCAATGTCCTCAATTGTGACATCAAACTTTAGAGGTAGCTACAAACTAACATTCGCTGTATTTCTAAAAAATACTGTACTCATACACTGCATCTATATTTACATTATACATTTTCATCAAAAATATTCAGCGATTGCATTGATTGAAATAAATAAAGAACGATTTAGATGTATATACCTGTTGACAATTGAGTACTTTACAAACGCTGAATTACATCTCAGAACTAGGTAAGATCTGCTATTCAGCCTTGTACCACAGCTCCGTGTCGGCGTCTTTGATCTGGCGGTCGAGAACCAAACAAGACGGAATGGTGCTGTCTCTGTTAGATTCGAGGGAAAAGTCGGGCCCAGATTAAACAATTTTTTTATTATTGAAAAAATTGAAAACCTTGGCGTAATAAGGTTGGTTACATGCTATATTAAGTAAGTTTTGGGAAATTAATTTTTTAATTTGTTTTAAATCTGTCAAATATAATTAAAAAAATTATTTAAATATAAATATTACGAAAAATAGCACATCTTTAGGATTAGAGGTAAAATCATTTGTATGTGGCTAGTAAAATCCTCGTTAACAAATGTTTTGAGCTAAAACAGTCACTTCACGACAAATTGTGGCTTGGATCCTTTTTACACCAAGGGCTTCAATTGTTAAAGAATTGTGTCACGCTCGTGGATGCAAATCACGTGGTACCCCGTGTCTCTGGCAAATGTTACTCTTCGCGCAAAGGGTTTATACCTAGATAAACGAATGCTTCGACTGAGGTCTGGGAACTCTATGGTATTTTGAAATTATAAAGAATTTGTGCTTTTATTTTAACAATATTGGTTATATTTAGATGTATTCTTATTAATTGAAATACAGATTTGTAGAAGTAATACTTTGACAGTTTTTATTAATATAATATATTCAATTTTTATCTGACCATACCGAAGTAGGGAATTTTGAAACTTTATAGTAATGTTAAATTTGAATTACAATATTACACGAAATTACATAATTAGTAGGTACTTATTTTAGGTAGGTACTAAATTTGTACTTGGAGAAAGTAATATCGATTTTTACAAGAAAACTTGAAAAGTAAATTTTTTTAGTTCCTATTTCTGATGTAAAACTCAAACCAAGAAAACAAATAAATTGTAGTTTGTTCAACAAGGGTGGATATGATAGCCATATCACACAAAGACGAAGTTTGAGCACGACGTCGTAGGCGGAGTACTCAATCGTCTGATTGTGATATGAACAATCCACTCGATATGGTCAATATATTTTTTCTACGACCCACTAACGAAAATCTTCAAATTTAAAAAATTATTTTAGGTTATTTAGACAAAATAACTAATTTTAAAATAATTTACGAAGTTGACTAATTTATAAAATAAAATAAAATAAACATGAAAAATGAATTAGTCCTCGGCCTAGATTCGATCCCGGGCTTTTCGCGTGGAAGGCAGATGCTCTGTCCTCATCTTCACCGAAACTTTCAGGACTTTAGTTTTAATACTCGTAATTAAATTAGTATCATGTAGTTTGATTTTTTTTTTTTTAAATGTGGACACAATAAAAACAAAAATGCTATTATTTATCGAGTCTACACAAACATTTTAATGTATATTTAATATCAATAATTAAAATATATATATTGTTAATTAGTTTAACAGAATTGTCACTTATTTAAAAATTTTTAAATAATAGGAGTTGGGTGACCAAAATATGAACTGTAATTTGTAGATTTAATTTTGTTAAAGTGTTCTCACTACCTACAATGGATATGAAATATATTCGTAATTGAACGCAATAACATACTTTTTCGTTTTGTAGTATGTGCGTAGATTGGCTAATATCCATGCACAGATTACAAAACGAAAAAGTATGCTATTGCCTTCAATTGAACGAATATATTTCATATCCATTCTAGGTAGTGAGAACACTGCAAAAAAAATTAATTCGCCAATCACCGTTCATATTTTGATCAACCGACTGCTATTATTTTTAAAATTTTAAATAAATGACAATTCTGTCAAACTAATTGTCAGTATATTTTTTAGTTATTGAGATTAAACATACAATAAAATAAGTTATTCTTTTGGAAAACGTTAGCATGGATGACTAAAGGGTATTGGGTTAATTAATTCTAATAGTGTGGTACAAATGTTATTTTTTGTAACCAATTCTTCAAAATTATTTTGAAATATCTTTTCAATATTGAATATTAGTTCTACAAATTCATCATTTGACAGTTGCAGATTTCCAAATGTATCTGAATTGGCGTTATCATATGCCTTTAAAAAGCAATAAAAAGAAAAAGCATCTAATTCAACGTGATCTTTGTTATATTTAAGACAGGTATCGCAGGAGTGGATCCGCAAGGCTTTTATTAAAAGGTAACCACACACATACCTGATAAAATTTTTCTGTAGCAATTCGTGTTTACAATAATTTAGGGTGTTAATAATTTCATCATAAAATAAAATACAAGGTGTTCCATTTAAAAAACATACATTTTAATTTACCAGTCAAAAAACGTGACACCCTGTATATCCAAAGATATTTTTAAAATACGTAGGTATTTTTCAAATCCATATAACTTTTATTTAAAACTTTCTTGCGTGTCTACAACAAAATAATGAACAAAAACGCACTAATGGGACACCCTGTATAAATTATATTTTTAACAATGAAAATTTCTTATAATGTGGTACTTATTGGTTTGGGTCCTTGGGAAAACTAAAGAATGTTTTCTTGCAGGTATAACCCTTATTAAAACAGCTTTTGACTGCACAAACATAATGATGTTTTTTTTTCACTCATTCTACTCACAGCTAAAGAGTCACCAAAATAATAACAGTACCTTTAACTCAAACAAAATCAACGAAATTATAGGCTCCACGAAATTATACAATCAACGAAATTATACGCACGACTCAACACCTTACCTAAGTACGCTTCTGAACGCTAAAACCGTCTTTTCCCTTCGAAGGCGGAGCTTAAGCGATGCGCGACGAAATCGACGCAAACCGTTATCGCCAAGAGAGTGTTTTAGCTGTATTGTATAAGCTGTGCTTGTACCATCTATGAACTAATAGTAAAAGTACACTTTTGGGATAACAGAAATCGACATAGAAAAATGATATGTAGATTTCTCGAGTTTTGAAAACCCAACTAAAAATGCGTCGTCAATTTAGGATACCGTGACTGAAAAGGTTAATATTATTTTTAGCCAATTGATGACAACTTAATGGAAAACAGTTATTTTTGAAAATTCAGTATTCAGGGCCCTCACTACATATGAGCAAAGGCGTGCAGCGCACGCGGGCGGCATGGCCAAGGGGTAGCAAATTGCCTTTTGCTTGCTTTAAAAAAAATATTTTTAGTAAGAAAAATAATGATGAAACATTGGCTGCTGATACTTCTGAAGAAGTAGAAGTATGGCTTATTGAACTGGCTTCTAGATACATGGTATCTAAAATGTATTAAGACCATAAATGCCTACTTGCTAGACGGCAACGATATATTGCAAATAGTCACTTGCAATGTGATAGAAAATGTGACAGAAAACGAAAAGATCTGTTGTATAAACGAAATTTATGAAATATTATCTAATATACATGTTTTTGTGAATTACACTGTTCTTTATAAAAAATGTTTCTTATTAAATACGTCTCTCAATCACCACGTACACTACAGCGTACATGACGTAACTAAAAAATATCAATTTTGACAGATATCCGGAGAAACTTAAATATCTTTAAAAAATATTTCTAACTATCGTCAACAAATACATATTGGTTTTTAAAAATTCGTGTCCGAAAGAGAAGAAGTCACATTATTTAGACAGTAAAATTTAAAATGAGTTAATAGTTGCTTTCTTTTAAATTGAAAAACTCAGTTCTAGAAAAGATTCGGGTTTCAAAATATTAATCAATTATTCTAGAGACAATATAATCAGAATAAAATTATGAAATAGAGGAACAATAATTGATACTTTTATACTTTTATAACCGTACAAAAAAACTATATGCATGGCTTTTATTTCAGACTTCAAAAATCCTTTTTGTAATTTACTTCATATAAACGCTATTAAACGTTCAAAAACTTTTAAATTATAAAAATATCGTCTACATCGTCATTTTATCAAACCCATTTGGCAATTCTGCCACGATGCCATAAGTGCATGGTAATGCATTAAAAATGTCATCAACATTTAGCTCTAATAGCGGCATCTGACTAACATCGTGTTACGAATTTCAAATACCCAGTGGTGGAGTTACGAATTACAGCAAAACTATTATTTGAATTATTAACAGTAAAACCTTCATCAGATACCAGATGGTGTAGCGAAGTTGATGCAGTAACTCATGTAAGATTTCAATTAGGAGAAGTATACGATGTAATGTCACATAGGTGTAATTTCCAGCCTGACCTATAGTTTGCTTTGATTCTGATCATTAAATGTGTTTATTGTTTTATTTAATGTTATATGTCACTAGTTTTTCTGTAAAATATTGTAAATTTGTGTACATTGGTTTGTAATTGATAGTCCGCTATACTAATTAAGTTTTTTTGAACAATACAGAAACAAGAAGCACGAACTTTTATAAAATATTTTATAGGGTAATTTTTTAATACTATTTTGTTGTTTCTTTTGTATTTATGCGTTTAAATTTCACGAAACAAAATCTCATTTAAAATATCATGAGACGTCAGTGTTATGAATAAAGATAGTCACCTTAAAGATGTGTAACTTGTACACATTATTGTTCTGACCTGTATGATATGAATACACGTGGTTTGTTTTGTATTCTTAGTGCTGCCTCTACTTCACTTGCTTTAAGTAACTTTAGCTTTTGACCCTAAATATATAGTGCTAGCTCGTCCTCGTATGTTATCACTGCCTCTTCTCTTCTCAGAAAGTTTCTTCCCAGTAGTACTGCTATTTCCCCCATGGTTTGGTCCTTGCAAGCTATTACCTCAGTC